CGTCCGTATCCTTGATGACAGTAGTGCCGATAAGTCACATTTAGTGGCTTATTGTAGAGTGAATTATCGCACTACCCTATCATAGCCCATATAATGATAAAAACAGCATGAAGTCATTCGTAACAACTAAGCATCCGTTTTTGTTGTTAATAAGCGGTGTTTTGCGCGTGATCTAAAATGCTTCAAGAGCTTTCCGAGCAAAGGTATCTTTCTCGTATGCCAAAATTGTACATTTAATTTCGTAGTCTTGGTCGCAATGATGTTCATGCTTATGTTTCCCGAGAGGAGAAATCAGACTACCCTTACGTTTATTGGCAAGATGTTCTTTGATCCTCACACCAAATGCTCTTCCGGTTTCTCCTATATAACTAGCACCACAAACCAAACCCTCTAACTGATATATCACTCCTGTTTTAGCGCGATCTCCGATGTTACGCACTCTTTCGAGATACAGTATTTGTCATAGAGCCTGTTTCGTACAAGCCGTTTCTTTAGATTATCGCTCGGAACGTTTACCAAAATGACATCGCTGCTCAATTGTGCTCGTTTAATGCTCTGTCGTATTGCAACACTAATTTCCTCTGAGACGAAAGGAAGACAGAGCGCTATTTTGTTGTTCTGCTGAGCAGTATTACGTAAAGAACATGGTTTACCACGAGTATGATGCATCAGATAGCCATTTTCTTTCGCAATGCTCAGCGCGACATTTCGCGGCTCTTTCCGTCCTTCTTTTGCCGTACACACTTGTGTTGCTGTTCTTGTTTCGAATGACGGCATTTTTGACGGCTGATGGATTTGCCGAACGAGCATGTAACAAGATGTTTTTAAAGCTGCTTTTACGATACCATTTTGGATCACGAGCAAAACATCGCTTATGAACAACAAAAACGAGTGCTTAGCCGTTACGAATGACTTCATGCCGTTTTTATCATTATGTGGGCTATGATAGGGTAGTGCGATAATTTCATCTACAATAAGCCACTAAATGTGACTTATTGGCACTACTGTCATCAAGGATGCGGTCGCACCATAACACCAAGTGCACCGGCGGTGAAGCAAAGGTGTAATTGTCTTTCTCATCCTGCGATTTTTGCTGTTATTAGAGGGGATCGAGAAGCTAGCCGAGGGTTGATAAAGCACTTGGTGGGACAGACATAAGATCACTAGTCCCGCACCGCTTTAGGCCTTTGAAGACGACGAGTAGTCGAAACGTTAGGCCACTGATGTTAATAAAGCTTCACCCAAACCTCATGCTGGCAAAGCAATACTAACATAGTTTCATTATATAGCTTATTCACTCACGAATACTCCCACAAATTTGCATCCTTCTAGATGCCTTAGTTCTAAAGAAGTATCATTTTGAAGGTACGAATATGAAAAATTGTGAGATAATCTAATACAAAGACTTTCCTGAAAGGTAGATTCTACTTTCAAAACCAACTTTTAAAAAATCATTGAAAGTTAATATATTATAGAAAAGCTTGATTTCACTTATCGCTAGACATAATTCGTTACTTTCTCGGTTTCTAATGGGTCGGTCTGAAAGTCTGTGCCGTTTTGAGCCCTGCTTAGAAACGTTCAAAATAATGGTATACAAACGCTACAATTTGATGAAAATTTCCTCCTCTTTTCAGCAGTAATGTTCCTGTTCCGATTCTTTTAATGCTCGCTCGAATCGATACAACTTATGATTTTTACCTGCCTCTATTTTAGCCTAAAAGTTTGATTTTTAGCTTTTAGAAGAGCTTTGACCACGTTTAGATAGAGCAAACAGCTGCAAGACATTGCAATTTTGGCGTTTATAGCTGTACTTTTAGAATGTTTTTCAAATGATTTTTTCAGTGCTCCGAATTCCAAACTTGGTTATCTCAAACGTCATAGAACACCAACCAGCGAGCTAAGATTATTCGATGCAGATTATTTTCCTCTATCTAATAGAGGTTTTTCTCCCTTATTCGTGAGAGTTTTGAGAAAATGCTGTATTTAGAAAACTCGAAATTCAATTTGAAGCGGTAGAGACTCATTTGCTTTGTTAAATTAGCGTTTGATCTAATCAACCCTTGGTTCAAATTTTTAAAATCACAAAGGTATATTGGTATATGAAGCTTTCCTGTATAATTTCAAAAATACTTGCAAGCCAGTTGAAAACCCAAAACTTTTTTGTCTTGCATTTTGTCTATTTTAGTCAACAATAAAGCTCTTTCACAAGGAAGAATGGAAGTTTCAGAGAATGACTAGAATGAGGATGGTTAAAAATCATGGGTGGAAGATTGTGACGATTATTAGAGCCCATCAAAGATTTTGAGGATTACAACACTGCTAGAAAGATCACTTTGGACATTCAAGGTTGTCTGAAAAACGGCAGGAACTTTTGGATAGACCTTATATTTCGTCAAAATGCATATCTACTCTGATAACTAAAATAGAATGTTCAAAAAGCAGCAGTGGGCATACACCACAATCACAAGCTTAACTGCATTGAGACTTGATATTGGGAGCTTCAGAAACTGTAAGAACGTTTAGCGCTCGTGCACTAACGTTTTCGCTGGAGAGAGGACCGCGGCTCAGGATAAAGCTTCATATTCCAAGGCCTGAGGCATACTTCTCACGAGTCCGCGAAATCGCTACAACCACGTGATTTGGCGTTTTGCCAGATGTGGTTGGTTTACCATAAATGGGTTTCAGATGCATGAGCGGCAGATTTTTCAAGTCGTAGTAATCACACCAAGTCTGGCCCAAGCAAATACACCAAGTCTGGCCCAAGCAAAGTGCTTTTAGGATTAGTCATGAAGAGTTGTTGCAGGGTCAGATCGCGCAGAGACTTAAATCGCTTAAGATTTACCTTATAAGGCTCTAAAAATCAGGGTTTCTCGCTCCTATCCATCCACAAGTGTTTATACTACCTTTTACTAAAATTATTTTCACCAGAAGCGAGAAGTTGTACAAGTTGCGTTTTCCCGCTTCTTGTATGATCGTGATCATCCTCGGTAGCTGACCGTCTTTTCTTTGAATCGTTTTTCTTTCTTTAAAGTCATTGAGAACATTCCATTGTAAATTATCTATTCCAGCAGTGCTAGGAATTTGTCTTAACAGTGCTATGCGTGTTTCTGATAAGAAGAATGATGCGTTGAAATTTTGAGGTTCTCAATGAACCTCAATTCGACTTGTGGTTCATCGCAATTTTCATGACTTCGATACAAAATTGTTCTTACCAGAAACATGCTTAGCACTGGTGGGTTAAATAACTAGTATAATACAACTCTGGAATGTTTTCATTTTTTCTAGAAATGAAAAACGACTTTAAAGAAAATACGGTTGACCGCAGGGGATCATCAGGGATGCATACAAAAAGCTGATAAAGCGGCTTGTACAGCTTTTAGCTCCAGTGCAATATGTTTATAGTAAAGAGTATTGAAAACAGTTGCGGATAGATATATAACGAAAAATTCAGATGTTAGAGCTTCAAAATACGAAACTGTTTTTGAAGCCTGAAAAACAATTCCGCAGCGGGAGTTAATGTGCGGCCCTTAAAGGCAATGGCTCAGCATAATGACAGAGTTGCGATATTCATTGTTCTTGACTCCCTTGGATGAGTTGAATCTGACACTGTGCTCTGCAACTCTTAAAGGTATTAATAACTCGGGGGAGGGCGTGGGTGGGTGGCGAAAGTGGCTGCTGTAGCCAATAATCCAACTGTCTACGAGATGGGTAAGCCTGGGTTTATATTGATTCCCATGTTCCTGAACAGCTCCCGCACAGTTCCCACACTGTGCTGTATGCGCTGCAGCCGCCCCGCACGCGTTTTGAACCAGGGAGTTCAAGAATTTTGACCATTTTCAACGGTTTTTCTTCCACATTAATCTCATTTCGGCTTTCTTTTTACTACGGCGCTTCCCTTTTTGCTCAGAAGAACTTCGAACTCGAAGCGGGGTTGAGGAATGAGCGTTTTCTGCTCTGCATATGCGACCAAACTTGTGTTCTTTGCTCTCCATTTTCTCTTCGCTTTGACTTTACTCAGACCTATTCCATCTGTTCCACGAAGCCGCTGCCTAGTCTCGTATCTGTATTGAAAGGGACATGGACAGATCTCTAGAGCACATGAAGTAGGTCTGAACATGTCTGAACAAAAATAGCGAAGAGAGAATGGACGAGCGCACGAAGGCCCATCTTCCCGGATACATGAAGCAGAACAGCGTTTTATTCTCATCTCGCCTCAAGTTCGCAGCCTTTTTGATTTGATCACAAGGAGAAGCGGGGTAGAAGAAAGAACGATGAAGCGATATGGAATAAAGAAAAGAGCTGAAAATGCCCAAAAACCAAACTTAGCAGAAAACAAGAGAAAGGTCTCAATTTATGCAATGCAGATTTGCACTCCCCAGTTCATGGCAGATGACTACGGGAACTATGCAACGGCTTCCTGGATTAAATGGAATAGGTTTGAGTAAAAATAAAGCTAAGATAAAATGGACGAGAACAAGAACACATGTTTTGTCGCATATGCAAAGCAGGAAAGCGCTCATTCTTCAACACCGCTTCGAGTTCGAAGCTCTGTCGAGCAAAAAGGAAAGCGTTGTAGATAATAAGGACAAAATGAGAAAAATCTGGAAAAAACCGTTGAAAACGATCAAAACTCTCGCCGTTCAAAACGCGTGCTGCAGCGGCTGTAGCAGCACGCGTTGGCTGGCGCAGCGCATGCAGCACAGTTTCGGAACAGTTCCAGCACAGTGCGGAAACAGTTCGAACATGGGAATTAGTATGAGCCCAGCCTAAGGTATCTCCATTCACAAGCCGATCGCGCTCTAGAGGGCAGGCTCAAGCCGTTCGCCCAAATCGCCTGGAAAAGCGAGTTTATTGATATTTTTGAAGCTGCAAAGCAGAGTCTTAGACTTAGCTCATCCAGGGAAACCGAGAATGACAATCCCAAAGTTGTCATTCTGCCGAGCCGCTTTTGATGTCATGCACGAGGTGTGCTTTTCGTAGTTGGAAGACGCGAATTATATGTTCTTCAACATTTATTTTCAATAAAAATACTGGCGACATAATTGCAATCATTTCAGTGGTCTTCTCCGAACAGCAACAATGATAAAGAGAAAGCTAGGATTGTAAACAGCCCACTTTCACAAGCCTTAACCATAGTGACACCGAGTGCAATCAGAACCTATCTTTGCCGTAGCGGCAAAAACAGGCAAAGAGCTCAGCATTGCCAAAAAACATATCATAGGTTCTTTCTTTGGCCATGCGCAACTGAAACACGAAAATTGTTTCGTTTTGTTAATTGTATCTTAGCGTACCTCCCGTCTCGCTCGTAAAACCACACTCGCTCCGTCAAATGGACGTTGATAGAAGTCTTTTGAATTATCGAGGCGCACTTTGCCTCCAGCAGCAACTTCTTTCAAGCTCTCTTTCACTACCTAAAAATGACTATCATTGATATCTTCGACACTTGCACAGAATTTTCTTCTACCCACAATGTCTGGTCGCAGGCTATCTTTAACGAGCCTTCGGATACGCTTCACCTAAGCTTCATTGAATTCAATGCGGAAGAATTCCACTCCCTACCAAAGTCATCTCTCAACCGCATTGACAAACTAACGCGAATGACATATGAGGCTTCACTTTCCTAGATTGCTGTTTTTGGATGCCCATTACACTCAAAGTACATGATGGGCTATTGGCATGAGCGGCTGGTTGCGACACTTTCTCAAACCAGTAGTTGTTGTACGAGAATATTTTTGCGCGTCCCTTCTAGTGTCAGTAGTTGATTTTGTTGAAGCAACTGGCTCCACAGTTGAAGCGTCAGAAGTACTGTTTTGCAAAAGTTTTGGAAAGCCGAATTAATTATAGTGCAATTGACTTGATCTTATCCAAAAAGGATTGTTTATTAAATTTTTGGCTTTTTGAAGTTTAAAGATTTTTTGAAACTTTCATTAGCTAAATGTCTATTGTGGCGTGCCTATTACGGTTACGATATTTTTGGAGTTATCAATTGCCTTCAACGTTATCGATTTATGCGAAGATTGGAACGTTGGAAGTTCGGACAGGGAATGGAGGGGGGACACTGAGCATGCTGGTAACGACAAAATTTTTTGATCTTTATCGAAGCCCCGCTTATATTTGGCGTTTTTGCAAGGGGCTTGATTGAACATCCAATGGTTCTCAAAACTTGATTAATTTTAAGCTGACTGCTTTTGGTAATGAGAATGTTTTGCAAAATCCCGACCTGACGACAGAGGCCAATTGTGAAGTCCTCGGCAATGCCACGAATGTGGCTATGTTGCTCAAGTCCAAAGGTTTTTGAAGTAACAAATTGTTGTTGTAGTTAGCTGTCCTATCTCGGGATAAAATCTTGAGCAGTTCCCTTTCAAAAAATTTAGATGTGCTTTGCATGAAATCGTAACTTACTTTACGTTGATTTCATATTGCGAAGCTGGTTTTCATTATGTGTTCAAGTAAAAACTGGATAGATTAATCTTTTTTGCCCTTGTGTTTAATACATGCTAATCCCAACAGGACGTTTGGCGATTACACAGAGATCCGGCTTCAATGCAAGAAAGGTTTTAGAAACTTGCTACATGTGAATTAGCGTACGTGTAAGTGTGGTTGAAGTTATTCATGTAAATGTATTGGAACCATGTACATTAAAGGCAGGCAAATCTGGATATATGGGAATCTCACGTGGATAGTAATTTTGGGACCCTAACTGAGACACTGCCCAACCGGCAGCTCAGTGGTGTTTTGTGGTGTTTTAGCGGCTGAGATGTTCGCCTCCAAACTGGACCCCCAGACTCGTATTTCGCATGGATTCATGGCGCAACACATCAGTTTACGTGGGTGTCCTTGCGCGGACTGACGTGTCGCGCCATGAATCCATGCGAGATATGATCCTGGTTCCAGTTTGAAGGTGTATATCAGCCGTTAGAGTAAGTCATTTGCGCTGCCCTGGGCCGTGCCTTAGTTAGGGCACCAAATTCACATTCATGTGTCGCGCCATGAAACCATGCGAGATATGATCCTGGTTCCAGTTTGAAGGTGTATATCAGCCGTTAGAGTAAGTCATTTGCGCTGCCCTGGGCCGTGCCTTAGTTAGGGCACCAAATTCACATTCCAAGTAAAATCCCCATAGGTCCAAATCCTCTTGGACGTCGCCTTTGAACGAAAATTCCAAAGTATACAGGAACCGGCTATTTATAAGTCTTAGCCCAAAAAATGGTGAAGTTATACATTTGGCGGCAGAAAAGCACTTTTATACACATTTGCGAGATGACACTTCGGATTGACATTACTGTCTGCTATATTACTATTCAAAAGGGCTTTCAGCATTAGCTTGAGTGCATATATAAAGCTCGTCAATTTTTCACTTTTTTCGTGGAGTTAATACCTGTTATACTGTTTCCGGTTCATAAACTCGTTACTTCGCTTGATTATGGATGAAACAGCAAGCAGAATACAGAATATAACGTAAAGCAAGATTTTTGTTTACTGTGGAACATCTAAAACAAAAATAATACTGAGCTTACTGTTGCTTGACGCGAAGTACCTGCAGACCTTGATCCAGCGACTGGGACCAAATGTATCACTTTGTTAACTCTTTTGCCTTGATGTTCCTCCCTACCGATGAAAACACCCCAGTGCTTGAAAAACAAAGTAGAAAAACTCGTTTCAAGTTCTATTGACACTTACTTGGTAAGCACCCCTATCAAACACGACCAGATCACCAGGCCTAAGATAATATACAAGGTCCATGGGAAACATCCAATCAGTCACAAGCTTGCTCATTATGCGCTTTTCTGAACGACAAGGTATTGTAACGTGATACCTACAACATACAACACTGTAATGCGTATGAGTTGTTCATTGAAGAGAAGTCACTACTAATGAAAATATGTGAAACTTGTGTGTTTTGGGGGCTCGGCGTTTTAATTTATTCTCACTGATAGGATAAGGGGGGGGGGAATTCTTTGTCGCTATTGCTTCGTTCTAGACGTTCTCTCCTATGTGTGGTAAACAGTTCTGTTGCTGATATGGTTTAATAATCTTGCATCCATTTTTTCGCAGTTTACGATGCTGGAGCAATGAATCATTTTCGCAAAAAGTTTATTTTTCTATCCTTGCTGCGGAGCTGTTCGTTTGTGAGGAAAACGTCAACATCACTAAACCCAGCCGAAAAATCAATCGTTCCTATTATCATTATTGTTACACCGAACATATGTAACTATTGCCTGCGCCATGCTTTTCGACTGCCTGATAGAAATAAAACAAGATATAGGTGTACGACAAGTTACTTACATAAGGAGTGGATTCAAGAGATTTCAATGTTGAGCTTATGTCAAAATCTGATTCGCATACGGAATGTGCATCTTATATCCTACTAAGTTTAGTAAAGGATAAACACAAGAAATTAGGGAATTTCGATAATGAGGGACGTGGGAAAGCAGAATGAAAACAAGTTTGAAATTTGAATTTGCTGTGCAAGTATGACAGTTTCAAAACTGGTAGACGTGTCTAGAAATTATTCATCCGTTTTTCCATTAATGCTGCACGAGGAAAAACATTTATTCAATTTTTCATACCAAATGTCTTTTTTGCATATCAATCATCATGTTATTTCAAAGGACCAGTGAGCGTTTTTAACCGACAAACCTATAGGAATGAAGTCTCTTAGTAAAGGTCGATGAGCAAACACTCAATAGGTATAATCTGCTACATATCTTCGTAATGTTGTTTTCTTTATATGTAAAAAGAGCAAAGCGAAAACTGAACTGTTGCACAAAGGCAGTAAGCATAACCATATCAGAATTATAATGGAAAAACTGACACATCGCGCCAGCGATTTACGATGTGGCTTACGTGGAAAAGGCCCTAATTGGGGAAATATGGAAAAAAATTAATTACCACAGATTCCAATCAGCCGCTTTTTCAATCTTAGATGCTTCTTCTAAGCCTCACTGTCCCTCAGTAAATAGCAGTGTCAAATTTATGGTAATTAAAAGGTTTGGAAACAGAACATTTTCACACCTTTTGTAAGATAACGTGGGCGGAGCTGGCTGGGCAAAGACCCTACCAAGGAAAAATATTCAGAAAATTCTGCTGATGACGTCGAACCGGTGTCGGTGGACAATGCGCAACTGACATATCGGTCATTGTGTGCAGGAAGGCAAAGACTTATAGGACACCAGGTTGGCTCTTTTGACGCAATCTCTTGCCTTCCGGGTTATATCACAACTGCGCATTTGCAACGTCGTAACGTGCTAGGTAAGGAATTATAATGAATAACCTATATTTTGTAAAGTTGAGGCCCCCAATTTCGCCCTTACCAATCATTTGAATCAAGCAGTGTAGGGTGCATGAGTTCTGCCCTCGGTAAAAAAATACTTTTTACTTTCTTTGATGTAGTACACGTGGATAGAATATAATAGAAAACTTGTCCTAAAACCGAATGGCTTACACCATTTGTTGACGAACTTCTGTGCAGCAATCTCTATCAATGATATCATTTTTGCGAGTTGAGTCATCCGCAATAAAATAAGATATGAAGGGCGTGTCAGATTTACACAGTCATGATCGCAGTGTGTCCTATTCCTAATCGATGCAAGATTCGTAACAAACGGTAATTCAAAGCCGTTTTTACTCAGTCTAGCTATATGGGTGTCCTAAAAGTCTTTGAGCCTAGTATTTCTTCAGCTGAAATTGTACGAAGCAACATAGACATGTATGAATTCAGCATGTAGTTTATAACCTACAAAACAACAATGTGCTCTCAGATTTCAAAAAAAAAAACCCTCCTTTGGTCTTTAGATAGACCTTCAGACTATTGCGAAATGATGCTTACACCATCGCAGATATGTAGTTGGCGCCGAAATTTTTTCATACTTCCTGAAAAATGTTTTAGACTGTCCAAATTTTAGTGCGGAAGAAAGCAAGCCTTGCCCACAACTGGTCACAAAAAAAGATTAAGGGCCTCTAATCTGGCTACCTAGAGGCTTCCAATCTGAGGAGCTTTTTTGAGGGACCAGTCAGACTTTGCTGAGGATCGATCTAAAGCGTCCAAAAAAGGGAGAAAGAACTCAAAAGAAAGCAAGCAAAAGCACCAAAAGGCTTCTTTCGCGCGCACCCTTTGACCTTGGAACCTGCATTGTCATAACAAACAATACCAAAACGGCTACATCCATTCACTTTTATCAAGTTTATTTTTTGATCATTCTGAATGTCGGCATTTTCTTTGTTGCATCGCGCATAATTGTCCTTGTTCCCACTTGAACTTTGCGACTGAGCTGTTTGCAGCTCGCTGTCGGGAAAATACGGAAGTTGAATGAGCTACTTTTAACGTCACCTTCACGGCTGTTGTTTTGAAATCGTTTCTTGGGGTGGGGGACATTAGGTCGCCGAAAAAGGGCGGTCCCCGCGGTCATTTGCGACAAACACGCACCCTTGTACATGCGCGGACATGCGTTCCTGCAGGGAATCCGCACGGGACTCTTCCAAATTCGGCGACCTAATGTCCTCCACCCCGTTTCTTGCGTTGCACTTAGTTTTGGTGTGGTGCAAGAAAAATTTCTTTTCCATCACTATAAACACCGGCAAAAGGGGAAGATCTAAAGCTTTCCGGCGCTATTCGCGAAGTGTGACGGGTCCCTGAGTAAGCTACCTCTTGGACTAAAAGACATCAAGATACAATTAATGCGCTCTGGAATATCTCCGCTTGGAACGACGACAAAAACCGGATCAACCAGCGCTTCCTTTGCTACTACATATTTACATATGTGCTAGTACGAAGAATATCATTACTTAACAATGAAGCGCTAAGGCTCTGTCTGCTTGTCTGTCTGTGTGTGTATATCTGTTGACACGAAATTCATGGAGCGTGTTGTAGCCAAGGTCATGAGCTGAAATTTCGGTCATAGCACCCTATTAGCATGCAGGTAGACAGTGCAAGAGCATAAGCCTATCCGATACAAAACCTTCAAAAACTGGGCGGCGAACGAGTCCACGCGACTTTTGGCCGACAATGTGGGTCGATGATTGTGCATTTTTGTAAAGTTGTATTTTGCTTAACAAGTAAACACGCAGTCCATAGGCTTGAGTCCAAAAAGTGAGCAAAAGATCTGTTTTTACGCAAAATCAGCGCCAAAAAGGAGTGATTGGTAGATCATCAATTTGTCAAGGTTTCAGCTAATTATAGGCGAAGATTTTCTGCTCAGAGTAGGGGACAGAAGTAACTGCCGTTTGTGGAAACTACCCGTCAATAATCAGCAATTGACCAAAATTCTCTTTTAATCTATATATATATATATATATATATATATATCATAACTTATAATAACGGGCTAAGGTTGTTTACGTGTTTTTGTGTGTGTGTGTATGTCTGTGTGTCTGTCTGTAACGAAATTCGTAGAGCGAGTTCCAGCCAACGTCCTGAGCCCAAATTTTGCACATCGCATGCGACCAACATAAGAGCCTACCGTGCAAAAGCACGAGTAGTTTTGTTGGATGGATCTCTTAGAAAATGCGCGTCAAACGGAACCACTTGGGTTCTGGCCAGCAAAATCGGTTCCGTATCACCACTTTTTGCAAAATCGGAGATGTGTTTGGCATGCTGATGTGCAAGCCATGAATTTAGTCCAAAAAAGTGGACAAAAGTTTACTACTTTACGAGAACGACGCCAAAAAGAAAAGGTTGCGTAAATGGTTAATTTGCCATGGTTTTACCTGAGCATTCGAGAAGAATTTTGCACAGAGATGTAGCTCACGTTGCCTACTGTCCTTATGGCAGCTATCAAGCCAGAAAGAGTCCAAAAACCTATTCAAATTTGTATTTGTTCTTCTGCGAAAAGTTTCATCCACGCGAAAACACCGATCTTACATGAAAAAGCAATTGGGATGGATAGTTGTTTACATTTTAATCGCGATAATCGGCACTGCGCGGTGAGTTTCATTACCATCATTAGTCAAGAATGAGTAAGGCATATGAAGTAAGACCAGTGCGAGCCTCTGCGAAGCAGAGGTGACGCACTGGTATATATATATATATAACTCAAAATTGTGAGTTTGGAGGCTATGTGCGCTATAGAAACGCGCGCCGCTCACCCGATTGGGCTGAAAGTTTGTACACAAATGTTTTCGACCCCTGCGCAGATGATAGGCTACTCTTTGCGTCGATTCGTTGGGTTCTTCTATCGATTTATTGATTTCTAGCACTTAGCAGTGAAAATGATTCTTATCATTTGCTATCAAAGGAGAGGCATGTAAACAAGGCCGGCATGTTTCATTGTAGACTTCTGTTGGCGAAGTGCAGTAAAAAGCGCTCTTGATGTGAGCTTCAAGGTTCAATCAAGTGAATACACTCTATATCTTATGCTGCGGTCTACCTTAGGGTGCAAGTGACCAAGAGTGGTTTGTAGTGAGTGTGCTGTACAAAGGTGTTCAAGATTGTACTCAACGCTTTCTTCGTCATTTAAGCTGCGATCAACCTTAACGTGCAAGTGACTAAGAGTGCTTTGTAGCGAGTGTGCTGTACGAAGGCGTGCTCAAGGTTATACGCAATGCTTTCTACGTCACATTCCACTTTGAACAATGAAACGGTTAAGAGTCACAAGATTGCGCTTAAGGCAGCGTCCAGGCAGATCTGGACCTATGGGGCTTTCACGTGTAAAGTACTTTTGGGGCCCTAACTAAGGCACTGCCCAAGCGGCAGCTCAGGTAGTGCTCTAATGGCTGAGATATTCCCCTCGAAACTGGCCCCCGCGAACGTATTCGCATGGATTCATGGCAATTTCGCGCCAGGATCCACGCTTTGCGCCATGAATGCATGCGAAACACGGTCGCGGGGTCCAGTTTCGAGGGGGATATCTCAGCCGTTACAGCACTACATGAGCTGCCGCTTGGGCAATGCCTTTGTTAGGGCCCCAAAAGTACTTTCTACGTAAAAGCACATAGGTCCAGATCTGGCTGGACGCTGCCTTCAAATTATTTGGCATATCAAAAATTTTCGAAAAGAACTTGAGTGCCTGTTCACATAATGTAAAATACTACTTACTTAGTCATAGCCAAGCTTGCCAGAAAGATGTTAAACATCGGAAAACAGCTTCAAATAGTGTGGTGAGCAAAGCGAGTGACCGATCTAGCAAAGCAACACAAAAATTGCTCATCATTGTAAAAGTCATGCTACTCATCTCTCCTTTGCATGTCAAACCGCAATGTTTAATCTGTAAAGTCCCTGGAGTTATTTTTTTCGGTTTCGAAGCGGATGTCCCAGTGTAAGTAATCCATGACATATAAGTGGATGAAGGGCTCGCAGTGCAGGTGAACACTGGCCCGGGCTGGACCGGGAAAGCCCGATTAGTCTTCTATAATCTTCTCTTCCCAATTTACCGGTCCTACATGGAAAAGCTCATGGAATGAGTTGTTTACAATTCGTTATGATGGTGAGCATCCCGTATGTCACAGTGTGTTTTAAAGTGAACATCATGCAAGCAAGAGGAAGGCATATAGATAGAGGAGTCAGCGCGAGCCTCTGCGAAGCAGGGTTGAAGCACTGGTCTTATTCAAAAAAGCAGTAATCTAGGAGATTTCATTGCTAATATATTGCGCTTTCAGTTGTACTCGTTTTAAGTATCCATGCAAAGGCACTTTCCTCCTCTATAAAACATATTTAGAACCTGGCCGCCGAATTTATGCCTCCAAACTACTTTTCTGCCAATATGGCACTGAGGGGCTACAGAATACATGATCAGAGTCAAGCGTGGGGTGCGGCACGCCACACCTGGGGGTCGTATTGAGGAGTCAAAAGGGGAGGGGGTCGTAGTTAAGTAATCTGATAATAGTGATAACATGATATTCGTATCATATCCATAACTGGCATGTCAATTAATCCCTGTAGACAAAGTGTGAGAATTCTGAAGATTCAGGATACAAGGCTACCTAAGTGAAAATGGTCAAATTCCAACATGGTTAACTTTGTTTCAAAGGTGAATTAGCTATCCGTTTTTGCACTCAAGACAAAGCACTATTCCTTCTTTGTCCACCTCAGGAATCCCGCTTCAGAAGACCTGCAAACTGTGGAATTAGAAGCCAACCAAAATCTCATTTTTCCCATTTTTCGCTTTTGATCGCTTGCTTTCACCAAATATTACTTAGAGCTAAGAAGACAAATCAGGCTCCAAACAGTCCTATGGAATCTACAAGGTTTAGGCTATCGATTCATATAAATACTGTCCGCTAAAAATGTTTTTTTGATACAGTTAATGCGACTGCCGCAGCTTTTAAGGGGGTGTGCCGCACCCCCTTAACTTGCCTTCAAAATCCAGAAAGCGCTCCATTGCTGGTATGAGTATTGAGCACATAGCTTCTTCTTGCTACATTGGAAATTTGGAGCGGAACGCCCCACCCATAAGAAAATTATGGCCCTTTCAATACGCCCATTCAGATCAAAATCAGCCGTCGAATTACGCGAGATTGTAAAATGCAGTCACAGAAAATCGGGCGTACAGCTTTCAGAAATCTGAAAACTCTCTAGAAAAAGATGGTGTCCTCCAGAATGTCACACATTGAGGTCCAGAGGCTAAGAGAAGGAAGAAGGGGTCGTTTGAGGGCTTTCATGGGAGGGGAAGGAGTTTCGAAAGACTTGTGCCTGACCTCTTTCTCAACTTTGGTAATGCTATCTTAGGTATATAGTTCAGGGGGGGGGGGTCTTATTAAGACAGTAATCAGGGGGGGGGGGTCGTAACCAGCGATCGTGTGCCACGCCCCTTGCTTGACCCTAATATTCTTGTAAATATTATAGTTGTAACTGAGAAACTTAATGCATCGCTTCACAGGGTCATAATTCGTGCTTTGAGCAAATGCTTGCGCCATAGTGATAGTAATCTATAATCACTCACGCTGTTGGTTTTTCTGAATATGAAGGTGTGACCAATGTGACCAAATGCGAAAATTAACTTTTGCTCAATGCGTCAATTCTTTTTCGAAGCTCCACAGGGTCATAATGTTGGAGGAACCACAGGGTTGGAGGAATAAAAGCTTGAATCAGCTTATGCAAATGCCATTGATCAAAGTCAGATGACAAACATAAACGAAGGCCGTTAACGTATTGATTCTTGTTGAGCTGGCAAAAAAAGGCTTGAAATCATGTAAAATTAAGCTATGAAAAAACTTGAACTCGAATTTAACTTGCATTTTGCAAACTCCGTAATCTGTTATATTTGATCGCTGTTCTGACATGCGTCGCACACATTATGACAACGGAGGAATGAAAAGGAAATTTATAGAAATAGGCCTAGTATCGAAAAGTGATGAAAAGATTACTTACAGAGTGTGCCAAACAATCAGAACAGAAACAATCTTTTGTTATATAATCAAAAACATTTTATTTAAGATCTTCTAGACTACATTTAAAATTTCCGATCGAATTCGATACAGGCCCTTGATCCCCTTCACAAATTCTTACGGGTGCGTGCGGTCCCATTTAGCCTGTTTCAAAGATTTCAATCCCTCTGTTACAAAAAAATTATGAGCTTTCATCAACTCTAAAGTCCCAACTTTTTACTAGCAACTGCTTATGCCTTAGTTGATAAAAAAAACACTCAAAACTTGCCAATTCTGAAAAAATGCCCATATAATACCAAAGTTGCCTGCAAGTCTGATAATTCCCAATGGCAAGTATTTGACAAGTTTTGCCAATGGCATCAGCTCATGGATCTCTGCAAACTATAATTTGGACAAACCCAACAATTGAATCATTTTTTAGTCTGAGTTAGAGAGTTGACCAGCTTTGCGATGCATGCGTATCAAGTAGATAATGAAAGTTTTTCTTTCCAAATTTTCACAAATTTAAACTTTTACAACGAACACCTCTTGCACTAATTCTCGTCCCTGATTACCTTTCCATCCTTTGCAATGGAAACATCCGAATTATCGCGCATCATTATCTGAATTATTTTCTTTTCTTCTTTTTTATAAATGCTCTCGTTTTCATAAAACTTTGCTTCGGTCCCGCACCTTAAAAGGACAGCAAAACGAATGTGAAAAATTATTGTCGCGAGAATAAATTGCCAAGTAGTAGATTGTAACAATCGTTGTAACATTCAGATTGTAACAACTATCAATTTATCACACTCGTGATGATTATTTCTAAAAGGTTTAATGATTCGAAGGAACTCAAAAGCACGTAGGACTTTAAACGAGCTCAAACAACGTTGTAACATTTCGCTGATCTCTCTGTTTTTCTTAATGCTACCGATGGTTTTTGCCTAGGGAAATTTTGAAAAAAAATACCTTCTTTTGCAAGGAAACACAAAGTTCATAGTATTCGTAAAAGTTTTCGAATTAGTCGAATTTACTCCAAAGGATGAGAAAATAAATCTGCGAAACTGAACACTGTCGAGACTAGTTTCAGAAAAACTTTAAATGCTGTACTGTGCTCAAGCTTAAAGGAAGCTAGAAAGGCTGCAGGAACGGAATCTCAACAGATTTGTTCTATTCTTCCATTTTTTACAGAAAATTCCCTAGATGAAACGATAGGTATGGATAGTTACCAAAACTAAAACTTAGCAAGAGTCTCTACAACTTATTTGCTTCCGCTGCAAGGCATTGAGCAGTCAAACCTCTAAAATGTTCACTATATTACCAGCAAATCAAAATTCACAACTTCAAGCTTCAACCTGCTCTATCGAGTGGATAAGTCTTTCTTAATTAGTGCTATCAAAAAGTCAGTGTATCTCGGCCTCGGGATACTGGCACAAGGTTTAGCTTTCGGCAAGCAAATTGGACATGTGGCGAATTTGATGTACTATCTTGCAATAATTTTTTATGCTACCACAGCTTCTCCTTCTTATCTGTTCGCTGTTTGCAGAGTAGAATTCGTCGAAATATGATTGACAGATAAGGTACACCAAAACAAATTCGAGGACCACCGAGTGGTAAACATGTCAGAAACAGGTAAGTTGGGTAGAATCTGGAATTACAATAGTTCAAGCATGCTTTTCAAGATTCTCATGAAAATACAAGAGCATACAAATCGTTCTATCAAAGTTTCCGAATGAAAAGCTTTCACAAAACGAAAGCATTATTCGTGGAATTATTGTAGGTTGCTGCATGACAAAGGCGCATTATCCTTGGCGCGCAAGCGGCTTTATTAGCCACAGAGCGCATGCCAGGTTCACAACGGCAAAGGTACCCGCGCGTCGCGTTCGCGCCCGCTCAACTAGAATGCTGTTGCGCCTTTGTCATGCAGTAACCTTCACATAACTACACCTTTTTTTACTCCAAAAGATTTGATGCTTGGATTGTTTTTGTCTGCTAGTTTCTCTTTCATCCAAGTTGATTTTAAAAAAAGCACCACATTAGGCCTCTGTTAAACTGGAAAAAGGCTTCCAAGAGAACTAGGTTGCAGCTTCACTTAGAAAGCAGAAGTGTTATATCAAGAGAGCTGTTGTTTGTGAAATATGAGAAAAACGAAATGGAATGGATTGAATAATGCTAGATGTTTACAACGGCATCATGCATCGTGATTTTGTTTATATATATGTGCTTGGACTTGCATTTCTACTTTGTGGTTGTGTATTGTGAATTGTGGACTGTGGATCTGCATTTCTACATCCGTGTTTCTGATGCAAAAATTCCTTAGAATGAGTTTCTCATAAATTTGTGATACTAGTGCATGGGTATTTGTTCCAATACTTTATGCGTATTTTATCATCATTGTCGCAGTCATGTTCATGCGCTATTGACTTTCTATTCCTTGGTTTCTGCTTTTGTCGCGGTCTTTTGTTTTGTCGCTGTTTCTGCCGTTGTCGTTTTTGACATTGTGCAGCTTCTAAGACAAGCAGAGTAGTTTGCAACACCTTTGCAGAGTTTGAAGCAATCCTGAAATGTTGTTATTGGAATCGCGCATAATACTTTTTCATGCGCGTACCTCATGAAAACGACCATGTGCCACTTGGCACAAGAACAGCAGCACCACAACGAAGTAGGCGTTGATGAATAGCATTTTGGACTCTACAAGCAATTAAAAATTATAGATTAGAGTCAGTGTAGGAGCAACACAAGAACAAGCTTCAAAGAAGTATGGCCTGAAACGAAAATAGCGTGTTACGGAGCAATGTATCTTGTTGACGTGCTTGTATTTCTATTTGATGTGGAATATCACAAGAATCACGCATGATCTTCACGTCGTAACCGAACAATAAGATTCAAAACGAGAAACTAAGTAGGTTTTGCTCAGAGGCGTATTTCGCATTATTCCCTTTCCTTTCCTTCCTGACGACTGTTAAATTATCATAACTTCAATAACTAACCTAAAAATTTATTAGCCTCCTTACTAACTTTTTTAGTCTAAGATCACAGAGCTTTCATGGTAGAGCACGCGGAATGAATGGTTTTTTGCATTTTACTGCACATGATTAGGGTCGGTCATACATCACTCAATTTCATCGCTTCGCGATTTTTTCAGCAAGACAACAGTTACTAGTCCATTGTATGTCAATCACCTTGTAACTCGTTTGTGATACTTCTTCGACCCGACTAATCGCGAATAACTATCACAAGCAAAATGCAAGTTGATCGCAAGCAATGAACTCGTAACACTTTTCATGTCGAGAAAATCGCAAGGCGATGAAATCGCGTGATGTATGCCCGGCGCTATAGACATTACTCGGTAAGTTTTATTGCTATCTCCTCATGTATGAAGAGCAGTTCTTCCAATGCGTTAGGATTGCGACTACCAAATGTGCTTGCCTAATACTATACATTGGGATGCCATACTACCTCTGTTCGTTTAAAAATTGAGAGTTAAAATAAGGAGCAATTTATGGTTTCTACACATATTTTTGATGGTTTCGATATTTTCTTCAAAAAGTTGTAGTGTTCAAGCAGGAAGTATATATAGGTAGATGCCAGACTTATTAGTAACCGATTTATGCGGTTCACCCATTCGCTATTTTTCCAATCAATGAACTGACCAATAGCGAATGGGGGTGAGCACTAAATCGGTTGGATAAGTCTGGCACCCTAAGACATAGTGTAGGCCAATGCCCTCTGCGAAGCAAAGGTGACGCATTGACGTTGAGATTTGAGATAAGAGCGCAAGCAAAGTGGTCAAAGAAAGGAACAGATATAATGCGTTCAACGCAATATTTATACCCAATTTTTATTGCCTTTGTTTGATATCAAAAATCATCCAAAAACGCGCGAATTTCCGTTAAATGGCTACATAATCAGGAAATGGAAATATGGCAGAAATTTTATAGCGAAAACAAATCGCAATTCGATCGGCCGCTATGCCTTTTCCTTCACAAAGACTTTGATACCAAGTACCGGAGCGCAGATTGTAGAGTTTACCATGCAAACACTTTGCATTATGAGTGATTCAGGCTGCACGCACTCTCAATACCAAAGGCGAGTTAAGATGCAAAATAGCATTTTTATGGCCTAACTAGCGGCGTGCCCAGTCTTGCCCGGGTTGTTCTCCACGACTGATGAGAGAGAAGTACTGGTTAGATTTGCGAAGAAAAACTTAGTGTCATTGGTTTCTGCTCGTCCATCCCCTCCTAACGTAAGCTATCTCCTTACTTGCATTGAATTATCGCAACGTCCTCACACGAATTCATTCCTCTTAAAAGTGTCGAAAGTCGGTGATTCAATAGATGGGGTTTCACCGCGAAAAGTAGCCTATATATCTCAAGAAATTCAAAATTTTTTTCGGCAAATGAACGAACGTCGACTGAAGTCGGAATTTGAGCTTTCGAATAAACAAGTTCCGAACTTGTAATCGAAAGTTTTGTTTCGAACGAATATCGATTATATTGAAACCGGACATATTTTGGATAAACATTCGAATGAATCATTCAATGGCTGGATGTTCGGATGAATACTCAGATATTTAATTACTCGTTTTATCCGAATATTTAGAATGACCATATCTAGAATTTGCTGACATAGCCGGCTCGGTTGATGTTGGCATTACCTGGTAGAACTCATCAGTTTGTCCCATATATTAGGTTGGTGCAAAAGTTCTTTCCGCCCAAATTCAAAAATTCATAACTTGTTGAATTCTCAACGAAACTGCAAGATCTAGATTTTGCTCAAGAGAGAAACTCATGCTCTTTGCATCTGTACCTAAACTATTCGTTAAAGTTTACAACTTAAGGAAATAGGAGCTCAAAACCAAAATCACTCAAAATTTGAATTTTTCGTGTAGGGTCATAAAAAATCGGAAATCTGCAACAAAAATCGGAGCAGTCAGGATTGTAGGTTATCCCAAAAGTTTTGTCCGTTTTTTTTCATGCCCACTATAACTCACAAAACACCAATTCATGGACGAGTGTACCATTTGATTCAAATGTTTATTTTCTTTCTTACAGCTGTATTTGCCTTTTGTCTAGCCTGTCTTTGCAATAAAATCGCCTGGCTTCTGAGCAGTTCAGCTAACACCAAATCTTTCCTGAATTCTAATTTTTAACCGTAGTGTTTTCAAAGAGCTCTGTAACTGTTATGTAGAGAAAACGTTTGGCTGCATTGTATCCCCGTTATAATTATTTATTTGATAAAATCGCTGCTTTTTGATCACGTTTACAGAGGAATAGATAAAATTGCATAACATTACATAGTTATATCCATTTTTATCCCTTCGTTTGAAGGGATATAAAAAAATCATCAAGAAACGGCGAATTTTCGTTAAACGGCTATCAAGCAAGTTGGATGGAAATATGGCAGATTTTTTATAGCGAAAACAAATGGCAATTCAATCGGCCGCAATGCTTTTTCCTCTGCGAACGATTCGATACCAAGAACCGGAGTAGTGCCGGAGATAGTGGAGTTTACTATGCAAACAATTTACATGATGAGTGATTCAGCCTGCACGCACTTTCACTATCAAATGCAAGCCAAGTTGCAAAATAGCACATTTGTACTTGATTAGCTGAAGTGCACGATCTCGCCCGGATTGTTACCCACAATTGATGAGAGAAGTACTAGTTAGATTTGCGAAGAAGAAACTTACTCTCATTTGCTTCTGCTCGTCCATCCCCTCCTAACTTAAGCTACTTCCTTAATCGCATTGAACTACCGCAACGTCCTTACCGCGAAAAGAAAATGAACTTTACTGTCCTCGTTTACGCGAAAATGGGAGAGCGAGTTAACACGAATTCATTCCTCTTGAAAGCGCTGGAAGTCGATGATCATGACTTATAATAAGCGGCTTAATCTGAAGTTGTGTGGAGTTTGTCCGTTACGAAATTACAATGAGGAATGATTCACGATACTAAACATCATGTGAGGTTAATATAGCGAGTATGGTTCATTTCTAACTAAGGCTCTCACGCTGCAATCAACCGAACAATGATTTGAGAGACAATCTCAGAAAGTGAGTTTATCACGATTCATGACGCCAGTGCGAACCTCTGCGAAGCAGAGGTGAAGCACTGGTTTGAAATAAATGTATTGACTCTTTATTCTTCTGTCTTCTATCTACAAACACTGGGGGTGAGAGGGAGGGGGTAGAGAACGGGGTGGAGGGTCGTGCTGAATCCCCGGGGGGGGGGGTACCCGGCGGCAGGGCCCGGCACGAGTCGGTTTCTAGGGCTTTTAAAAACGAAGTCTCCCCTGACTTTCGGTAGTTTTACGAGATCCCCTTTGACCTACCTGCTTAGAAGAAGATGGAAACAAGAAAGATTTACTAGTATGAAGGAAAAAACGTGAGATAAGAAAGAAAATCCAGGTTGGAGCTGATTACTATGCATGCACAAGAGTTTGCTATTGGAGCGCGATATCTAACAAAGCGATTCATGAAGAAATCAAGGCAAAAAACGAAGGAAAGGCAATGATATGAAAATGTCTTTATGCTCAGGGATAGATTTTTGATCGGGGAATCCGTCCATGTTAAAAAGATCCGAAACTTATGTGAAGTGACAGAAATATATGCTCCAGACGATCTCAGATCGTCTGGTGGCCGTCTGGAGACGATCTAATTTTGGAAAAGGTATTACTTCACATAAGTTTTCAAAACTTTTTACATAGGTCTTCCTTAAATAATATTTTACTTATATGGTACAAATTTGGTGTCAAAAGCTTATGTTTACGCTCTAAACAAGCAATTTGTTTACTTTAGCCTTGCTTTCAAATCGCGCGCACTTTTCGCCATACACGATAGAGCATGTCAATCGTGTGATAACCTGTCCAAAAAGCTTGTGTTGGACTAAATGACGCTTATTCTTGGTGCTTGGCCCCCGACTCGTCAAAAACGATATCTCCTTTGCTTTTTGCTCCAAAAACGAAGTCCAGCCTGCTTCCAGACGATTTGTGCCGGGCCCTGCCCGGCGGTCGTATGCCACACCGTTTGCTCGACCTTGGTCTAGAGCTAATTTGGATGAGGTTTAGGGGCATAATTGGAGTTCGGAGCTTGATTAGGGCTAGTTACAGTATGCCGCGGGGGGCATTCGGAGCACAAAATGGGAGGACTCCGGAGCACGAGTGGCAAACTCCCGCTGGGGAAACCCCGCGGCTCTGCCATTTCTGCTTTGGAGGTATGCCGTCGACTGTCTGAGACTGCAAAATACCGAGAATGGTCTCGATGTGTGGAGCAGAGTACGTCATGGCTGAAGACCGAGGGTCATAGTGAAACCCTACGCTCATGGTGTGCCGGTATGCGGGTTCCAGCTTGTTTAATAATAATGGGAATTTTGACGCGAAAAGTACATCTCAGAAAATTTTAAAAATTTTTATCAAATTAACGAATCTCGACTGAATTCGAAATTTGAGATTTTGAATAAACGAGTGCCGAGATTTGTGATCAAAATTTCGTTTAAACGATTATCGATTACATTTAAACGGGTCATATTTTGGATGAATAATCAAATGAATTCATATGGCTAGATATTAGGATGAATCACTCCAAATATTCAATTATTTGAATCCCGAATTGGAATAAACCATATCTAGAATCTGCTGACATAGCCGGCTCGGTTGATGTTGGCATTACTTAGTAGAACTCATCAGTTTATCTCAGCCGGCTCGGTTGATGACATTACTTGATAGAAATCATCAGTTTGTCCCATTATAATCAGCATTTTCTTGTCCCTCTC